TCTCTCTCCTTTACAACGACAATATTGAAGATGGACCCTCTTAGCAACTTTCGCATATTCAATATATTACTGCATAACAGAACGTGATGGATATGTTAATTAGCTCCTGGTGATTATTTCACAATGCATGCATGTACATATACATATACATATACAAAGCATTGTTTGTATGCCTTAAGTATATACAATGTTTATTTGTCAGTGGTACCTCAGTAAAATTTTAAAAATTCATGACCTCACACCTGACCGTTCAAAATAGACCCATAGAAACGAGACAGGAATCTGCACTGTTAAGTTTTTCCAAGAGATCAGGCCAGTTGGGGCTTCCTCTAACACTCATTTCCTGGAAACTCAGCTGCATTTCACATCTACATGCAAGGCTGAATTCAGTTTTCTCGCCAACCCAGTTACATTTGATCCTGGAATGTTTTTTGTGGTCAAATTCAAAACAGTTCCTGAAGCCAGATGTCACATCACTTGGGAGGCTGAAGCAGAAGGATTGCAAGTTCAACTGTATCCCGAGCAGTTTAGTGACTTGGTGAGACTCTGCTCGAAGTAAAAAATACCAAAAAAGGGTTGAGGATCTAGCTCAGTGCAAAGGCCCTCAGTTCAGTTCCCAGTACTGAAAAAAAATGGAATCTAGGTAACTCTTAAGTCCCCTTGTGCTGGTCTCCCCGTTCCCAGTGCATACAGAGTGGCTTCTCTACTAAAGCTGGTGGTTGAGATTCATGACACAGCTGTTTCCAGACAGAAGCTGTCTTCTCCAGGGAAGATTGCCAGGGTTGGCTCTCCTGTACCTCCCTTTCCTTTTTAAAACATAAAATAAAAATTACAAGCAGATTATGTAAAGCTTAATACTTTGAACCACGGATTGTTATATATGTAAGGAAGAGAGAGTGTGTTCTTACAGTCTTCTATGCTTTCTGGGAGAATCAGATTAGTGTTTGTGAAATCACAGACCTGGGGGATTACTGTTGAGGTTCCAAGTTCATGAAGTCGTTCTGTGAAGAGCACTTCAGGATGGCTCTTTGATGGTGCAGAGCTGTGCTTCCCCAGTGTTTTCTGCCTGTGAAGCACCAGAAAGCATGAGGAGTAACCAAGGGAGAAGAGCATGGAGCTCTGAGCCCTTGAATCTGCTGTCTTGAACCTACAAACTGTCCATGCAACTAACATCCCTAAGAGAGTTGCACAAGCAAAACCACTCAGGGGGCTCCAAAGTCCTCCTACCCTTCCATTCTCACCTCATCTCATAACCTGATTCCCCTTTCTCTCCCCTTCAGGGAAATGGGTCTTTCAACCCCTCCTGCCACAGACCTTGGGCACAAGCTGTTCTGTGGTCCTGGAATATTCTTTGTTCCCTTCTTTAACTAGTTCAAGGCCACTCTTCATTGAGATGACATTTTAAGCGTCCTTTCTTCTGAGGAAGCTTCCCCTGGTCTTTCAGTGTTCAAATCTCATGATGATGGCTCATCAGTCATATAATCCCCTTTGTTTCAATGAACATAACTATGATCCTGCGGTTGTTTGTGAGATAATTTGGCAAAGCTCAATGAAGAGAGGAGAGACTTCATTCACCTCTAATTCACCACTAAAAGAAAAAACTCAGCACCTAGTGTAGTGCCTGGCACATATATACACAAAAATGCCTGCTGAAGGTCAAAATGAGTGAAGGTCACCCAGTGCAGAACAGAGCCTGGTGAGGGAAAGGAAAACCCACTGAAAGTCAGTGACTAAGCCAAGACAAGGACTAAGGGTCTTGTGACCCTGAGTCCATGTTTCTTTCCCTGACACCAAGATTTCTATTACATGAAGTAATGACTTGGTGAGAAAAAAAAAACGTGAAAAGAAGCCAAAGGAAAATCAGAGAAGGAATTCCTCACTGAAGGGACTGTTTCAGACTTATCTTCAAAAAGAAAGGACTATCCACAAAAGAAATCATGAAAAGAAGAAGGGACATTATGGGCAAAATACTTGGTATGAATAATAATGAACAAAAACATTTCTGCTTATTGTTTATCTAATTTTGAATTTTAATGAATAGCAGGGATGATAATTACTCAATTTCTATGTTTATATAAAACCAACACATGAAACCTCACAGTTCGATATTTATGAAGTGTCAGGTTCTCTTAAATACACAGTTTTGCAATTAGAAAGGGAGCTATTCATTAACATTTTAAACTAGATAAATAAAGAATAGAGTTGTTATTTATTCATTAAAAATTTAAAAACCGGAAATTATACACTCAACTTTTGGATATATCCATATCACTTAATTAACTAAGAGACAAAATGCTACTAAGAAGCATTTATCTACACACCTAGAAATAGGTGTCAACCTTATTAGCAAATGAAATAATTTAACCGAGTTAACAGTTCAGATTCACCTTCCATTTGTATTGAGGACTTGTTGCCCGATATTTAGAAAAATGGCTGGTTTTAGAGGCAGACTATGATGGTTAATTGCCAACTTATAAACAACCTAGAAGATTAGTAGAGTACATTTCTGAGTGTGTCTGGGTGGATCATGGAGGTGTGTCCTTGGGCACTGTGTATGGTCCCTGCCTCTTTCCTTTCTGGCACCATTCCCATGCTCTGCTTTCCAACCACAATGAACTAAGTATTTTTGCTCTGCCGTGATGTGTCTGTCTTGGAGCTAGGTGACCATGGACTGAATCCCCTGAAACTATGAGCCTAATTGAATCTCTACTCCTTTAACTTGTAGGTATTGGGTCTTATCCCTCAGCAATTGGAAAGCTGACTGTTACACAGATCCAGGGTTTGAATTGTTTTTCCTCTTGGTGACTTTTGGCAACTTACTCAAACTTTCTGGAATCAGTTCTTTTACCCATAAAATGGGATCATGATCTCATTTCACAAGGTTGTTTGGAGAGATTAAAGAATATAAAGCACTGGGACAGGCTTAGGGTAGGGGCCTCTTTAGTCATAATTGCTGTGGCACTGTTCTGGCCCACTTTTGTGGAATGCATGTCTGGATTCCTACATGTGGTTCTCCTAGATCCAGTGAGGAAATCAGTATACCAAGTGTTCTCACCCATAAACTGGTGGCATTTGAGGATACTAACGTGTTCTCCACCTGATGATTAAAGACCAGGACTCCGCCACCAAAGCACCGTCAGGAACAGGCAGGGACCATGTGTGTTAGGCTCAACATTCAGGGTCTAGAGACAGCATAGAGTAACTTCATTAAATTTGTGAATGATCTTCTGTCCATCAACCACCACAGCATCAAGCCCTGTAGATGCTACCTCTGATGTCTAAGCTACCACTCCTTGGTGCAGGCAAATTCTCCATCTCTGTCCATGAACCCAGAGAATAGTCCCCAGAGGAAAGTGGGCCTTTCGCTGACAGGTCCATGTTCCAGGGGGTCCAGACTCCACATTACACTCCTTCCTTCATCTAATATTCAGATGGGCTCGGGTGGTAACACTAAGAATTAGTGAATACACTGCCACTGGTCTGAACCTTCCCAGGGAGCACAGTGCCTGGGTCTGGAAGCTCCTTATTTGCCAACCTCACATTCAATCTAGGTCAGAGATGGAGCTGCCTCAGCCCCATCTGCTTGCCTTCTGCTCATGTCCTTGCCCCAAGTCAGGGTTTTGCCCAGGCTACATTGCCCCACATCTGTGCCAGTCATTTCCGCTGGAAACTTTGGCCCCTTCTCCCAGCTGGCACACACTTCCATGCCATAGGGCACTGTCCACCAGACCAATATGGGGCTCCTCGCTACTCAGCAAAGGGAAGTGAGCAAGAACAGATAGTCACCTTCCTGAAGAGTGACCTGGCTTCCTGCAGACCTTTGACAGGATATACTGCTTCCTACTGGCTAAAATACATTCTATCAGGCCTTACTGCCCACCCTCACGTGGTTTCTGGACATATAGTCTCAATCTACTGAGGGGAGATGAAGTAGAGGAGTCTTAGTCAAGCCTGGGACACCAGTCAACAATTCGTGGAGGTGGACAATTGTGGCTGCCATTGTACTATCTTTTTATTCTGGTGCTTTGGTATAGTGGGGTGGGGTTTACGGACCTTGGGGAGACTCTGCCTCCCAGGGCTAGCAACTTCTTAAAGATGAGGAACAAGTGGCCTTTGAGCTTGCCTTATACATGCAAACACACCAATTTGGAGCCCACACCCAACTGTTTTCTCTCTATGGCCCAGGTACCATCCTAGAGCACGATGAAACTATTCTTACAAGCAAATCCTGAACCTCTTTCACCAATAACAAAGGCTTCTGTTCATTTTTCCTCTCCGTGACCAACTCTGGTACATCCCTATGTGGTCCCATGTGGTGGCATGTCCCTGTCCCTTCCTTTTGGATCTGAGTGACGATCATTTTCTCAATGGCAGATGTCTCCTGATGTGGAAGCCCACTACTCACCTGAATAACAAATTCTACATTTCCAAATGGCCACTCCCATTGTCTTCTGATCCAATCCCTAAAAAAAAATCCATTCTGACCTTCTAGAGTCAAATAAACTATCAGAACTTACAGCAATACTGAATAATGAACATGGTATACTACATGCACTGCATGAAAACAGAGTAACCAAACACTTTAGGGTAGGTGTAGGGGACTCATAGTGTGGGGAACAGCGATGTCTCTTCAGAGCAATATGATAAAGGAGCATCAGGACATAGTGTAGGATATAGGAGAGGAATAATATGGGAGAGTTAATGGCCCTGACATGGCCATTCAGCAACATCCATTTTTTAAGACAGGGTTCCACTAAGTTACTTAGTTACTCAGGCTGGGCTTGAGCTTCCGTTCCCCCTGCTTCAGCCTCCCAGAGTGAGGAAATTACAGGTATGGACCACAATTCTCACCATTCTCAGCTTCCTTAAATTCATAGGGTGAAGTCTCCACCTCAGCAGCTCAGAATATGACTGTATTTAGAGATAAGATCTTTAAGAAGTTAAGTTGAAATGAAGTCACTAGTGTGGATCCTAACCCAATGTAACTTGTGTTTTCATAGAAAGGAGAGATCAGGACCTAGACACATACAGAGAAAAGATATGAAGACAAAAGATGAAGCTAGTCAGCTATGAGTAAAGAAGAGAAGCCGCAGAAGAAACCAAGCCTGGTGATCGTGACTGAAACTTTTAACCTCCAGATCTGTGAGACAAGTGATTTCTGTTTTATTTAAGCCAGCAGTCAGTGCTACTTTGCTACCTTAGTGGTAGCAAACAAACTCAGGTGATGTTCTCCTCTTTCAGTATGGCATATTTTGAGAAAGAAGAAAGGGGCCTATCGTGCAATAGAATGTATTTGCTTTTATTTTTTTCACTCAGACTGCTGATAGACATGTTTATAGCACCAAATTAGATGTAGGTAGCAGTGATAAGTGAAGTCAACACATCAAAACCCAGAATGAATAGTGTATGTGTGAGCACCAGCCCCTGAAATGCTCATCTCTCCCCCTGCTCATTTCCCTTACCCACAACACTGCCATCATCAAAGGTGCATTTGAAATGCAGAAAACCTTAATCATCCAAAAATTCAAAACCTTAATAGACCCTGTCATGTTGTAGCATGCTGGCTGATCAAGATGAGTTAAAAGGGGTAGCCAAAGCTTTTTAGGTACATGCAAATAAGGCTGCCAGACTTGCAGAACTTCAGGGATTCTTTCAAATGCAGTATCAGGATAAGAACAGGCTCATACCTTCTTTCCGAAGATTTCAGACACTGGAGAGAAAAACTGCACCTGGGTCTATTGGACTTGTGGCATATCCCAACAAGGTTAAAGCCAAATGGTTGGGGATAGAGAAAATGAAGAGCAGTAGCCTAGTTCAGGTCCAAGATGGTATCTTCTTAACAGCTACAAAACACAGATACATAGGAATATTGGCAAGCTGCCTGGCATAGCAAGAATGGGGTTTTGAAATGAGAGTAAATCATTTTTTCTCCTCCCTAAGTAAGTCATTCATTTTCCTCAAACATCTGTTTCCCAGCTTAAAAGCCAGCATCTTTCCATACCTATCACTCACATTGTTAAGAAGCTCCAAGAGAAGATCAGTGTAGAAACATTAGGGACTTCTAAGGGCCAAGCTCACATGAAGACTCCTTACTCTTTAAAATAAAGACCATGGTTTCATCTGTAGGATTATAACAACTGCAGCATTTAGTCATGAAGAAAACTGTCAGAACTACCTTTCTGCTCTATTTTAGCTTTAACTTTTTATTTAAAGATAATTTGAGACTTACAGGACAATACCTGTCTTACTTTCCTGTGCCTAGGACACAATACTTGACACCTACAAATTAAAGGTTGGAAGGGGATGGCAGAGGAAAGCTGCTTACATCACATTGGCCAGGAAGCAGAGAGCTAAGGGAGCCGCTGGGTGGGAGATGCACCCTTCCTGGTCACTCCCCCGGTGACCTGTGTTACTGATCAGGTCCCTACTCCCAACAACACACTCAGCCCTGAACTCATTCATGATTCAATCGCCTTCCACAAGCCTAGCCTTTGAACACATGAGCCTTTGGACAGACATTCTAGCTTTCAACCATATGGAAACAACATATGTGATATCTCCCAATGTTAACACTTCACCACATCACAGTAAAATTATGAAAACAAAGACATTAATCTTAGTACTATACTACTAACTAAACTATAGACCTTATTTGGAATGCCCCAGTTTTTGCACTAAGGTCTTCTTTTTGTTCCAGGATCACACCCACAGTCCCATACTGCACAAACTCCTTGATATTTATTTTACACTTTGGGTTTTAATCCAATACCAGCTTTGGCCATGGGGAGCCCCTTCAGCACTTGTTTCTGTGCCCTTCCCGTGGGCCATCTTAGTTTCTTTCCATTTGGTTGGTTGGGTTATTTTTATAGCTCTTCCTCTGTCACCACAAAATGCCCTAGGACATCCTGCCTTGCATCTGCCTTTGCTTTATAACCAACCACTTCCTCACATTATCTATATTTTATTAAGAACCACTTAAACATCAAAAAACCCACTGCAAAAAAAATAGGAAGCAATTTATATTGTGGAAGATAAAATTCAGGTTTAATTTCTTTTCTAGATTTCTACTATCTTCCCTGATCACTACTACTTCCACCCTATACAAAGGGCCATGTGATCTCATTAAGAAGTAGTTACTGAGTACCCATTATGAGGGAAGACCTGGCTCCATCAAGATCAATGACATCTGGTGCCAGTCCCTACATTCAGGGAGTTGTCAGTCTGTGGAGGAGAGGGTTTTATTAGCTGTACTCCAAACATGTGGTTTTGAATAAATGCTTAGAGTCTAATTCCTGAAACTTGTTGAATGTGTTACCTTTTTTGGACAAAGGGACTTTAAATTTTTTTTTCCTCTTACATGTTCGTGATCCATAATGAATATACTCACCATGAGGGGTCAGTACAATACATATTGTATCTTAATCCTTTTTACTTCTCCTTCCCTCCCCTCTATGTTCAAGTTAAGGATCATGTGATGAATCAGGATAATCTTTGTGGGCCCAGTGTCATCACAAAGGGCCTTATAAGAGTCAGAGAAGTACAGATGTGCTGACACACGCCTATAATCCCAGGATTTGGGAGACTGAGGGAGGAGGATTGCAAGTTTAAGCCCAGTGAGACAACTTAGTGAATTAGTAAGACTCTGTCTAAAAAATTAAAAGCAATTTAAAAGGACTGGGATGTAGCTCAGAGAAAAGGCCTTGGGTTCAATCCCAATACTCCAAAAAAACAAAGTCAGAAAAGTAATGAGAAGATAAGAGACAGTGACATGGGACCTAAGCTCAAGGTATGTGGCAGCTTCTTGAATCTGGAAGAGTCAAGACAACAAATTCTCCCCTAAAGCTTCCAGACGGGGTGCAGCCTCTATTTGACTTTCTGGACTCCAGAAGTGTAAGAGAAGAAATCTGTGTTGTTTTGAGCCCTTGAGTTTGTGACAATCTGTTACAGGAGCAGTGGGAAACTGATACAGTGTGACAGCTCTGGGATTGTTGATTTGTACAATCCCCTGGTCTCCTGTATTTGTCTGTGAGTCCTCAGGCAGATTTGGAATTTCAATTTCCTGTGACTGGGAGACATTCTCCATGAGCTCAGCCCCAGGAAGACAGCCCCATTCAGAATGTCACCCAGTGGAAAGGGTCCTGGCAACTTCAAACATGTCTTGGGGCATATCCAGAGAACATCGAAGTGATTTCCAAACAGAAAGCCCATTCTGTGGTGACATTTTATTCCTAACAACTTGCCTCTTGCAGCACACACAGGGCCTGTATGTGGCATCAGAAGAAGAGCTTCTAATTGAACACCAGCCAGCACTAGAAGGTGAACTATCTATTCTATTTCCCCCATCACTATGGGTGCCTCTTTTAACCCTTTACAAAGCCAAAATAAAATTTTTTTTAAAACCCTGCTTGTAGATAAACTAACAGAGAAAGGCTTCAGAAACCCTCCACTCTTTCACTCAGTTCCATTACAGCCATTCAACACTTTAACACAGAGAAAGCAAAAGGTCTTTCAACACCTCTCTGACACCTAGACTTCCATGAAATGCTAGCTCTCCTCACTGGATGCCCGTCGTCTCTGAGTTCAGTGTTTTCTTTTAGTTACAGGTCTGTTTTTATAAATGGGGATCTATGAATTCCCAAAGTTTCGAGCCTAGTTCATTACAAAAATCATGAGTGAATACAAGTTGACAGGTCCATGAGGACTTCTTCCCCCCACAACCAAAAGTGTAAGCAAGAAATTCTTCAGGGAATGAACACACTTGACTTGCTTTTTGCCTTCATATTATAGAAGGTTTCTACCTTTAAAAAGACTCTGGGCTGTTCACCATTACAGATCAGGTTACTGGCACAGGAAGCCTCAACAGGGTCTCTGTCACCCAGACTGATCCCCTTTGCAGGTCTCAAAGACACAGTGTCAGGAGCTCTATTTCCCCTTTGTACACCAAGAGATCAAATGTGAATACATCCTCAGGAAATAAGGATAAAAAGGGCAGCCCAGAGATGGTTCTATGCCCCAATTATATTCCATTTTCAGGTTGTATTCTGCTTCTTAAAATGATAGAAAATTGTGGAGTGTTTCTAATCTTTGCAGTTTGGATTGAATCCATCTCCCCTGAATCACTGCGAAATCACTGCATTAAGAAGGGCTTTAAAAATAGCCAAGTAGCTGATCTACTTGAGTTTGAGACCTGGTCAATTGGAAAATGTCTTGTTCCTTCAAAATATCAGCAAATCAAGTCACCAGTAAAACACATGAGTTTTGAGTTTCTTTCTTTCTCATCAAGTGGGAAACAGCATTTACTAACTTAGTTTCATGCTCTGTGCTGTTATTTTGCATATTTTATTTTGTTTTGTCCTCAAAATACAGGACTGTCCTGTTTGTCCTCCTGTTTTTAAGTATAAGAAAACAGGGATGCATTTTGTTTAGGAAAGTGCTGAAATTCCTCATGCAGGTACTTAGTCCTCACTTTCTCTCACACAATCTCCTTTCTCTAATTTTACAAAAGAAAGATAAACCTCAACCAGCCCCACACATACTGTAGAGCATTCCTCTCTACAGGAAGAATAAAAGCAACTTCTAGGGTTCTGAAAAATGCGGAATTCTAAATGCTGATTGTGAAGAAGCTACCAGCTCTAGCAACTAAACAACAAGTCCTTTTGCAAGTAAGCTGCTTTTGAATTCTTTGTTTTTGATTCAAAGACCCAATTACTGTGTGAACAGATAGATTATTAATATTCGTCTTTGATGGTACTACTTCAATATGACCCAAATATAACAGATATCCTTGAAAACTTGAGTGCCTATGTTACTGTTTTAATTCTGTTCCTTTCTATTCATTTAACAAGACAATTTTTTTCAGCACCTAAATAAATATAAACAGAAAGTGGAAATACAAATTATGCTGACACTTTTCACTTGTGGGATAAATAACACTTATTCACAGGTGTATGGTCTGAATGAAAAATTTTTCTGTCTGTCTCATCAAGAGATATGATTTTTAATAAAATGTTTAAGTTTAGTAGTGATCACAGTATGTTAGATATTTGCATTGTTTGGGTAAACAGGATCTAATATTATAATACTGTTGGTAGCTCAGTGTGTGTTTGTGTTTGTGTGTGTGTGTTGTGCTACTGGGGATTGATCCCAGAGCTCTTATAATGAACTACACCCCTAGCCCTTTTTAAATTTTGAGACAAAATCTTGTGAAGTCACTGAATTGCCCAGGCTGGAATTGAACTCAGATCCTCCTGCCTCAGCCTCTCAGAATACTGAGATTATAGGCATGTACTACCATACCTGTCTCAGTACATATTTTTGAAAAATATGTCTTGAATCATGAAAAATTTCAAACAATTTCACTTTATGTGCCAAGAAAAAGAAGAATAACTGACATCCAGGCAGTGGCCTGTCACAGCTAACTGTGCAGTTGCTGGCCTTGTGTTCCTGGCTGAACCAGTGTGTGCCCCTGCTGGATTTCAGCAATTGCACAGAGCACCAGCAGAAGACAGGGTACCTGAGGCAATCAACTTTATTTAGAAAAAGGTGTATTTAGCTCAGGGTTCTAGAGGTGCCAGTCCAAGGTCACGCGACCTCATTGCTTTGGGCACCAGAGGCGATATGGGGAACATATGTTGGAGCAAACCACTCACGTCACATCGCAAGCCAGGAGTAGAGAGAGAGCCCAGCTTGGGTCCCCAGGCTTCATCAGGGACCCCCACCCAATGCCCCACCGTCCACAGGTCCCATGTTTCCCAGAAGCTTCACCTAGAGACCAAATCTCTAGCTGATGATCTTTGGAGTACACTGTGATGAGACAGAGGAAATAGCCTTACAGTGTTTAAATATGGTGGCCCACACCCAAGGTTGTCTGTGAAGAGGCCAGTGTCAGGAGAGA